TATCTATCTATCTATCTCTATCTATCTATCTATCTGTCTATCTATCTATCTATGTATCTATCTGTCCGTCTGTCTATCTATCTATCTATTAATCTGTCTGTCTGCCCATCTCTATCTATCTATCTATCTTATCTATCTCAAACTTTCTGGTCAGGCTTTCTCAGTAACTTTAAGTTTGTCTTGAGTTGTTTTATATAGCCTATAGGCCTAGTTAATCTAGTTGTATTAGCTATATTTATTTACGTTAATAATGATACCAAGGAAATTCTTTCTAGAAGCTAAATTTAGGAGTTAAAAAAACTTTTTATTTACCCGTAATATGTAAGTAGCCTATCAGTCTTGACTGCGAACCTAAAGAAAAGAGCGAAATCGATTTACGGTTGCCATGGTTACTACTTTTTACGATTTTTTTTTTCTTTAACTTTTGTTTAGGAACAAATGCCTCTTGTGCAGTTAGCAAACAAAAAAAACTAAAGTCTTTTATTTACTTGTGTTTTGTAAATAAAGAGACATGACGGTATAATTTGAGCTTGATACGGATCTTAACAGAAAGAGCACCAACGACTTACGGTTGCTATGGTTACATTTTTTCACGACCCCTTTTTTATCTATTCTCTTTAACTTTTGTGGTTACTGAAACATTATACGAATGCATGTGTAAGGACCACTGTAGAATCGGTTTCTTGGAGGGGTTTAGCACCTTGGATCAAATGACTCAAACATGGGCCACCGGCGTCATCTATTGCTGTGCAAGTGCCAGCGTCGAAATGTTTGGTCTATTTTCATTTCGCGCATCCATGTGTTATGCCCATAAACCACATAAACCACAAAAAGTTGCCTTATGTTTTTATATTTACTTATGATTATGCTTACCTGCCATATTCGGTACAATGCATGAAATGGAAACGTTTATGTTAAAATTGTGCATGGTCTCTTTTCAAATAAATTTAAATAAATAAATAATAAATCAAAACTAAGAAACTAGAACAACAACCCCCACACGACTCCCCGCTTCTCTTGAATAATCCCGTCGCATTCATCCGCTCCCCGAGCGCCTTCACGCTTCAGCAGCGCATCTGCGATCCGGGGACGCACCGGCTAACATACCGCAGCTGTCCAAACGACGACAAATGGGTTCAGTTTATGCACATTTACTCCCTACTTTTACTAACATCATTAGTGATTCATTGAAACTTTCTTTTATGAGTCACAACGTGCTCTAACCGCATCTGTAGGCCTATGCGCGTTTGTATATTGCCTGTGTGTGAACCATAGAACCCAGGTGTGAACACTGAACCGGCCATGTTCGATTCAACAAAGAATCATTCTTCTGAATCGTTTCATTGTCATGATTCGGTAGAATCAAAGCAAAGTATTTTTCTTTCGGAGAATTATTATTAGAACATTATCGTTCGGAACATGCTTTACAACTCCTTGTTCAAGCTCGTGTTCTGTCCAGGCTGGACTATTGCAATGCTCTCTTGGCAGGTCTTCCAGCCAGTTCTATCAAACCTTTACAATTAATCCAGAACGCGGCAGCAAGATTACTTTTTAATGAGCCAAAAAGAATGCACGTCACACCTCTGTTTATTAATTTGACCTGGCTACCAATAGCTGCTGGCATCAAATTCAAGGCATTGATGTTTGCCTACAAAACCTCCACTGGCTCTGTACCCCTTTACCTAAATTCATTACTTCAGACTTATGTGCCTCTAGAAGCTTGCGTTCTGCAAGTGAACGTCGCTTTATTGTTCATCCCAAAGAGGCTCAAAATCACTTTCACAGACTTTTACATTAACTGTTCCCTCCTGGTGGAATGACCTGCCCAACTCAATCCCAGCAGCTGAGTCCTTAACCATCTTCAAGAATCGGCTACAAACACATCTCTTCCATCTTTATTTGACCCTCTAACTCTAGCACTCTCTATCCTAATTCTATTCTTTAAAAAAACTATCCCTTTTAGACTTGCACTCTATTAATTTACTGCTCGTTTTCTTTAAAAAAACACAAGCTTTTCTAATCTTTTTGTATTCTATCTATTTGTTTTCTTTTTATGTATTAACAAAAGCAAAAAAGGCCTCTAACACTAGCTTGCTCTATTCTTTTTCTATTCTATCTGTTTTATATTTATTATATAGGCCTAATTAAAAAAAACTTGCTACGTGTACTGCGTTAAGCTAACAGAGACTTGTTATAGCACTTGCATATCATTGCTCTTTTGTTGATTTTGATTGCTTCCATTGGCCTCATTTGTAAGTCGCTTTGGATAAGTCCCACTTCTCAAGAATGACTGTTTGGATAAAAGCATCTGCTAAATGATTAAATGTAAATGTAAGTATTTACAAGTCACTCTTTAACAGCAGCTTTTAGACTAGTACAGGTATGTGTTCGGCCATGTTTTGGAAATTACACAAAAATGTACTGTCTAAAACAGGGGTGCCCAAACTCGGTCCTGGAGGGCCGGTGTCCTGCAGAGTTTAGCT